ATTCATCACTCCTCTATGTTAAAACCAGCTTTGCTTTGCTCCCCATCCAGCCTTGATTTGGTTCCAATCTTGATTTATTTCTCAGACAATGAGTGTTTGTCACTGTCAATCAGCATATTGAGTTCGGTATTGGTGTTAAGAAAATGTAGCTACCTGTAAAGTAATTGTACTTAAAGAGCATTCCATATAAGATGTAGTGAACAAGTACTTAAACAATCATTGTGCTTTCCTCATGTTGCACGCCAATCTAGAAATTTTGTTTACATTTTCTTTCTAATACTGCACTCGAAATGAATAAGGGAAAGGTGGGTATTATCACTAAATTTACCATAAAGGCATACAGGAATAGATAATGTAATTTTAAAGATGTTGTTTAAAAGCAAGACAGAAGTACATTGCAGTATGAATATGTGTGAGAGATTGGCTGATATAAATTAAGATATGGATCCCTGTCAAGTTGATACAAAATGTTTCATTTCTAATATCTGACACCACATCATATTCTATGTCAGCCAATTTTGCTGTTCTTTGTTAAATATCTGTAAGCAAACACTTTAGGAGTTGTAGTTCATTTATGTGTTTGATTTGTACCAACTAGCAGATATACAAGAAGGAAAAAGCAGTATTTTTGTTCAGTTAGGGACTTATATTTAATTCAATTTGCACAGTTAACAAAAACTGCAGGTTTATTTGAAACTTGAATGTAAATCAGCCACTGCCGGCTACATGTCATCCTGTGGATTTAGTGCATGTACACGGTGCACATTAGACATTAAAGAGTTGATTGATTCAAAAGTTAGAAACTCTAGTTCTTAACTAGTAACGTTGTTTCTCCTGGGCTCCTGCTCAGATAATAATCGTTTTAATAAGGGTAGGATACAGGGAAGCGAACAGGCAATTTGATATGGTTGGGGAAATCAGGCATAGTTCATTCACTTTCTCAATTTACTCTACCACTACGTTAACCAAGGCAGTTCTAATTTCCCTCTTTCTTATCATATCTCTGAATATTTTGACTTCCAAAGTAAACTCACATAAAAACACAAAAGTTACAACAGGGAAAAGGGCCACTTAGCCCGAAAGAGCCTGTGCCATCATTAATAGTCTATAAAAAGAAATAATCTTAATCAGATTTACCTGTTGTCATCGGCATTGTTGGCATTGTTTCTGCCTCAAGAATTAACCAAGAAAATAAATTTCCATTCCTTACAACTCTCAGTGTAAAAGAATTTCACCTATTCTCCAATCTAAATCTTTTATCTTTTACTTTGTGCCTATGGCCCCTAATCCTAAACTGTTTAACTGTTAAAACAGTTGACTTCCATCTCAGCTTTTTTTTCAGAATTTGAATTAATTTTCATCATATCTATGTTATCATCATGAAGAAAAAGACCCAACTCTTTAAACCTCTCTTGTTTTGCAACATCTCAATTGATTCTGCGTACATGACTTTCTGGCACAGTGCATCATCACTGCTGTAACCTTTAGTTTAAACAAATGTTCTCTGAAGTTGGCTTAAACGTGTTTGATTTTATTATTTTTAAGACTACGTTCAGTTTCTCTGGACTGTAATACTGGCATGGAATCTTGCCCTACATTACTTTAAAGATATGAGTGTCATTAACTTAGCCTACACATTTCCAGGAAATATAGCCCAATCAACTTGACCCTACCTCACCTCATAGCAAAGTTCCTGTTTCACCTCCTCTATCAAAGTTCTCAGTGTTTTGAAGACCTAACAAAGGTTTCCACCCAATTTTCTTTCTAAATTAAAATAAATCTATGTCATAGAATCAGCCTTTTGGTATTTTTTCTAAACGTTGTGTAATGCTTTGGTCACACTTTGAAGAAGAAAATGTACATTTTTCAGGTTTAGTCACATTGGCAATTTATTCAAGATTAGATTACTGAGTATTTCTAGCAATTTCTGTTTAGAGTGAGTTGTAACCAATTAACCTCAACAAGTGACCCAGTACCTAGTCTATAAGATTACAACTTCAGTGATGTTTCAGTGAAAAAGCACTAGTAATTTTTCAAAACCTTTTTACTGTTTTCACCCCTGCTAAAGCAGATCTATTCAGTATTGTGTCTGTTTGTCAGAAAATCATAGCACCAAGCTCAGGGAATCTGATCCTAAAAATGCAATCATTGATGGATTTTGCGGATTTTTTTAAGACAGCATTTAACAATGTTCCTGAAGGACAGGACAGTATATTTTCTCTTCGAAAAGGCATTACTGAAAAACCAATTTGGTTTTTATGATACAGTCACCTTTTACTGCCATCATGTTTTCATTTCCAAATTTTTAAAAATCTGAATTTAAAATTCTCAAATTTCCAGAGTGGGATTTGAACATCTGCATTTGGTTTTCTAATCCAGTAATACAATGACTTCACTATTATGCCTTATAATGTAGAACTTTGTCATATGTCTTCTGAAAATATAGATAAATTATAGAACTCAGATCATCTACTAATTAAGTTATCTCATTGACTAGATTTTGGAAACATTAGATAATGGTCTTATATCAATATTGACTCCTGTTTACGAGCCCTGTGATCTCTGGATGAACTTTGACAACATCTCCTAATTATTTTCTCCTGAATCTATAATTCATGTATGCTGCTCCTTTTTTGAATGTGGGAACAGCATCCTCTGTTACCCAGACCTGCAATGTCCTAGGCACTGTTCCTCCTGCCAGGGAAAACAAGGTTAAATGCATGTTTATCTGACAGGAACATTGTTTTGCAATGGGGGCAAGGGAGTTGGCCAACCAATCCTCCAGAACCCTCTGCCATCCATTATGATCATGGCTCACATTTTACATCAGTTCCACCCTGCCCATCCTATGTCATATTGCTCGATTCCTTTTAGTGTCTATAAAAGAAATCTATCAGTATCTGTGTTAACTTTACTCTGATTATGAGCTTCCACACATCTCTCAAGTAGAAAATTGCAAAGATTCATGCTCCACTGAATATAAAATGTTCAACTTATCTTTAAACAGACAACTTCTTAGCTTGAAATTGTGACCTCTAGCTCTGGACTTTCCAACCATGGGAAACAGCCTTTCAACAACTACCCTATCAAGGCCACTACGAATTTTATACATTTCAACTAAACTGCCTATCATTCTTCTAAATTCCAAAAATATGAGTCCATTTTACTTAATCTCATTGCTGTTCATTGATTCTTTTCTTTCCTTTATCATTAAAATGGTCTAAACTTGAATCTTCTTCTAGTTCTGAAGCTGCAGTTTAAGCTTAATAGCATTTATTTACTAAATTATTTCCTGTTTGGAATTCTGCTACTTGGAGCTCTGCTCAAAAATCCAAAATTTACACTTTCAAGGATTTAATTCCCATCAGTTGCATTCTGGAGATACACGTGAAAATTATGTGGGTTACAAAGGGATTAATGACTCTTTAAATATCGCATAAAAACACTATTTGTGTGAACTTGTTCATGAATGTCTAGAAAGAGAAAATATCCCCTAACATCTTTTGTAGCAATATTGTTGCATGTGATTTTAGCCTTCATTACAATATCAAATTGAACTGTATAATGGACACTGTTTACACACCTCCAAATAATGAATCATTTTGGTAGATACCATATTACCAAATCAAGCTCACTTTCATTCCCTTCATTTCATGTCATGAGAAGAAGAAAGTATTGACAACATCTATAAAATGGTATCATTAGCACAAGACAGAGAGAGTTCCATAACTACAGCTCCTAAAATGGTGTGTGTGACTCACATATATTCTGCATAAGATGTACATCAGTTAATCTCTGAGTTGGAAAAGAAAAATTCATGATAAAAATAATTTGAGTTCATACAAAGGCTAAATTTATAGCAGTAGAAATGAAACTGGCAACATATTAAGCCCCTCCTGAGTTCTGACAACAACAGTTAATGAATTGTTAAAATCTGCTTTTTTTTTACAACAATGCTGCAGAAATTCCACACAAAAATTAACTGGGTTACTCAGTCGCCAAAATCAACCTGTTAACTGTTTCTACTTAAGCTTATGGAAATGTACTTAACAAATGACATTGTTAATCTCGTTCTCAAACCTCGCTGGGGGAACATAGGAGCCTGTGAACAGCTGCAAGAGCAAACATGTTCCTTTGAAATCTGTTGCTTGAAAACTCCACTATTCATTGTGAACATTTTAACAACAAGTCAATTAGAAATTGTGAAATATGGCTGACAAGCCTAGTTTAGATTTTTTTAAGTTAATATTCCCACAATTGAAATAGATTTAAAGCAACGAGAACAATCAATAATGAGAGAGAAAAAAAAATGGAGGGATTTGGATAGGGTTTTGTGTCTTTTTTTCTTGTCATTTGAGACTCTAATGATGCACTTATGTTGCCCGCTCTTCCCTTTTTCTTACACCTTACCTACTTAAGGAGGAATTCTTGATTGGTAAGTCGATGCTACCCGCAGACTAGGGATTTATTATAGGTCGCTGGAGAGAATAGATTTCTTCTGCAGGAAACACAACAAAGCTGTACCTTTCAGAGGGGCTTTTTAGTTAAAGTGATGGACTATTTGTTTTGCAACTTTATTTTGTACATAATTCTCATTTTGTGATGTTTGTTCATTGTCCTTTCTAATGCCACGCTTACTGGGGCCTATTGATTTCCTCTTTTTAATGCAGTATGTTGTCCTGTACGCACATCTTATTTTCCTTCCTTCACATAACATTTTTTTTCTTTATTTCTTTATTTTTATTATTATTTTTTAAAATGCTTATTTCTTTTCTTCTCTTCTACAGTTCTTCCTTTGTTATTACATCATTCGCATGCTTTTTTTAAAACAAAAGAGAAAAAAAATGCATGATGTCTAAATCTACGAGTTTTCATGTTGGAAAGATTTTTTTCTGTGTTTGGGGGTTAGGTGCCTTTAACAGTAGACAGTGCATCATACAGGTTAAAGATTGTCCTGGTGTGGATGTGCAATGTAACAGCAGCAATGTTTCTGTTTGCAGATGTGCAAGTCAGGGTCTTCTGGGCATGCTATTGTGAAGGAAGAATGCAACAAGCTTGACAGTGCACCCAGCCAGAACGGAGACTACCAAGATTATGACTCGGGCAATGATACAGCTTCACCCCCCTCGACTAAAGCCGCCTCTTCAGGATCACAAATGGAGGAGGAGAAAGGACAGCCTCTTGAACACAGTGCAGAGTTAGAGCGCCAGACAGTTTCCACGAGCGAGCTGAAGTTAAACGATGTGGAACCCAGCTCAGATTCTGGCAATTCAGTGGCGAGCTGCTCGTCTCCATGCAATGCCGTGCCCACGTCCCCAAGTGCATCACCAGGTGGTAAAGTACCCAAGCAGGACAGGAGGTAAATCTTCTCACTCTTGAAACTGTTCTCCAAAACTGAAGCTGCCTTAAAGGGCCATCAGAAGTAACTGAAACACCAGATAGTGTTGCTAATGACTGAAATCTGAAGAGGTACTGGCTCCTTCGTCATGTTAGAAAATGTTGTTCGCCTAACATCATGAACAAAAAAGCAGTTGTTCACATAAGGGAAAGCTTGATTATGGACAAAGCCAAAGTGTCAACTGTCTTCTGACTGTAGTATATGGTTGATGCTTCATGAGTTCTGAAATGACTTTCTCTAAGAGCCTAATGTGTCACTCAATGTATGAGTCACCGAGTCATAGGGCTGTACAACATGGAAATAGACCCTTCAGTCTAACTCATCCATGTTGACCAGATATTCTAAATTAATCTAGTCCCATTTGCCAGTATTTGGCCCATATGCCTCTAAATCCTTCCTATTCATATACCCATCCAGATTCTTTTTAAATGTTGTAATTGTACAGCCTCCACCACTTCCTCTGTGTGAAAAAATTGCTCCATAGGTCCCTTTTAAATCTTGCCCCCTCGCCTTAAACCTATGCCCTCTAGTTTTGGACCCTACTACCCTGGGGGAAAAACTTGGCTACTCACCCTATCACCCTCATGATTTTATAAATGTCTATAAATTCACCCCTCAGCCTCTGAAGCTCCAGGGAAAATAGCCCCAGCCTAAAGAGCCTCTCCCTACAGCTCAAACCCTCCAACCCTGGCAACATCCTTGTAAATCTTTTCTGAACCCTTTAATTGTTTTCAAAACGAGAATTATCACTGTCAGGTTGCCTAAAGTGGTGAAATTATCTTTGATATCTCAAACCAATGTTGTTCATTTTTCTTTGATAGTTTTGACCAAGGAATTGAGTTTTCTTTTTGCAAAGTATTTCTTAGTGAAACCAAATAATAGGTCAGAATGCAAAATGACATTGTACTGGTCTGTTAAAAACAAAGGGAACGTGTTAAGATAAATGACATTTTCCCTTCTCCATGCTTTCTCATGTCTTAATGTCACATGATTTTGTTATGAGTGGGAGAGGTTTTAAATAACACTGTAACAAACATCTGATCTGACACCAGCCAAGTTTATACCAGCTTCTTTCCCCTTCATTACAGGGAATTACCTTCACCATGTGACTGGCCACCAGTCGCTGAGAGCAAGAGAAGCCCTTCCCTTTCGCCGACCAGACAATCGCCTGAAGGACATCGTTCCAGAAGTGACTCCCGTAGCACTAGAGGACGAGGCAGGAGCTCCCCCAGTTCCAGCTGTTCTTCACGTTCCCATTCCCCTGAATACAAATCAACCACAAAATACTCAAGAAGCAGATCACATTCTTCAGGGAAAAGGTTTGTCTAAGTATCTGATGAGAGAGACAGAAAGGAATTGATGAGATCTCCCTCATGGCTTAAATTGGTAAAAGCATGGAACTGATCCTTACAGAACAGCAAAGTCCAACATTCAATCCCCAGTGTATGGTAAGATGCCGCATTGTTTGGAGCACTCTTGCCTCTGAATCAGAAAGTCAAGCTGGACTTCACACTCTTGGGCATATTCTCAGGGTTGACACTCCAGTACCGTACTTTATTTTATTTAGCAAATGCACAATCCTGAAACCAAGCAAGAACTTCTCCATTTGCTAAGATCAACATGATGAGTCCCTAACTTAACCTATAGAGAGGACAATCCTCAGTAAAGTGCAACATTGTTTCTGTCTCTCCCCAAATGGATAAGGAGTTTGCCTAATGGTTGTAACTGGCTGTGTAGAGACCATGGTTTGGCCTGAACCTGTTTAGCAAAGACCAGTCTCACTGTGGTGGTTCAAAACCTGCCATTCAGTAGATGAGATTTGGCATAGGAAGCTTGTTAGTGACTTCCTGTGTTTCCAATTCCATGATCCACAGAATGACTGCTGGTAGATCATGCTCAGGGATGCTGCTCCACATTGGGCATCAAGACAGGAGAAAGGATTCAGCAGGTCACCGTCAAATGGCACGTGAGGTGCAGCAGGAATTAATTCAACCAGCTTACGGGTTTGCATCAGTTGGCAAAATGATGTTTGCATGGTCAGGAAGCCAGGGGAGTTGTGCTGAGCAGAGGATTCCCAGTTATGATACACATCGTTGCAATCAGTTAAGTGTGAAGCTTTTCCAGACAGGTGACAAGTAACAGCAGCATACTGAGGGAGTGCTGCACTGACAGAGATGCAGCAGAAGTAAATGTTAAATTGCAACCCCATCTGGACATAAATGTTTTCACCACACTATTTGAAGAGCAGGAAAGGTCCCAATGTCCTGTCTTCCACTTACCTCTCAAACCTTGAATAAATCATAATTTAGTGTCCCAATCAATGCACACTAAAGGAAAGCTGCTATTGTGCAGCATCCTAATCAAAATTGTTTCTAAAATAAAATCTTTAGAATTATCAGGCCCTAGTCTACAAGTTCAATGCAAAAGAAAACGCAAAATCTTATAAGGCTTCTTAAAGATCAGATGGTATTCCATAAAAGTTAGAGAGTACTCCAATTATCGATCTTTGGTCTACAGCTGAGGAATGATTAATGATAAAGTGATGAGAACAGAAGACTTGTAGTCACAGAGCACCCAATCAACTCTACAGAACATCACAAAACACTTTGCATACCATGATCCCATTTTAAACATGGTTAATGTCAACATGCTTTAATTATTTGAAGGTTGGCAAGCCATGCCTTATGTTGAGGTTTCTCCTGTGAAGCAGAGTGAGGAATTAGCCCTAAAGTAAATCTCAGTCAGAACAGGGATCGAGCCCTGCACTGGTGGCATTAGTCTGTACCACACCAGCTATCTACTTAATTGGGTTTCCTTTAGATTTGGTTACTTAAAGTGAGTAATAGCTCACGGCTAATCTGTATATTTAATGCAACCATTTCATTCCTGGGGAACAGGTGTGATTTCAGAGTCGAGCTCTCTGCTTTCATTTTCTTCCAGTTGCTGTTTCAAATTAAATCAATGCTGTGCAGTCATAATTCACATTGCTTGAAGTGATAGAATTTGGTTCCTGGCAGTTAGATTTAACCAACAACCTAACTGTGAGCCACCCTTGAGGTTAAATCATTGATGTTAAACAGTGCCATCAACATCTTTCCATCAATATAAAACTGCTCTCAATATTAGAAATGTGAACAGCCCCTGACACTCTATATGTGTTTTAACCTGGCAGCCTGGAACGAGTCCATCATATGAAAGAAGGAGACTCCACAATGCAATAGCTTTAATTTATATAATATAATCAACTTTAAGAAATTTATTGAACAACTTTGCAATTAAAAGCGAGCTCCTGTATTTGAATACTGCAAAATTTGACCAATGTAAATTTTCAAGCTAGATTGTTGCAGTACTTTTCCCACCCGAATCACATCAAAGACTGACAATGTTACAGTTAGATATAAAGGCAAATGGATGAAGAGTCAAGACTCATTCTTCTGTGATTGACCAGGTCTTCTTCACGCTCTCTGAGCTATTCGCCAAAGTCTAGAAGGAGAAGCCCAGGAAGTAGGAGTTCCCGATCACGACGCAGCCCCAGTTATTCAAGATACAGTCCGCAGAGGTAATGATTTTAAGAAGTTGTATTACAGCTCTAAGTTTCCAGTGTATGGCTTTGCACGACAAGGGAGCACAGAAGGAATCCAGGTGTAAGGGACATTGCATCTGGTGAAGTGACTGAATGTATTCAATGAGTGGAAAATTGATCAGTCCACAGAATGTGTATGCTGATCATGTCTCCACATTCCTGATAGTGTGCAAACTTGGAGAATGATTCTTCCAGGTGTCTGTCTTCCCAAATCCCACTTTAGGCAAATAGCAGTGCAGAGACTCAAGGATCTTTATGGTTTCACACGTTAAGCGGTGGTGCTAAATTGACATAACAAGGTGTGGAGCTGGATGAACACAGCAGGCCAGGCAGCATCAGAGGAGCAGGAAAGCTGACGTTTCGG